GTTTTTGGCTTCTGGGTTGTTGATTCTGGTGTAAATTCATTAGCTTTTGGAATGATCCAGTAGTCACTGAACTTATTAGAAGATGGGCTCTCAAGTTTTTAACTATTTTGGCTCTCTGTCTCGTTGTGTTTATTATATATATATATATTCATAATAGAAGCAAAATTTTGTCATTATGGCAAGTGGCCTAGTTACTGTTAAATTGGTATACGCACATTAAGGTGTTAATTTGGAGGCTAAGAAAGAGAACAATAAGTTTGGGGAGAAATCAAGTCAATAGGATACCTATCAGAGTGTTTTCAAGCTTGGTTATTGTTAAATATTAATGGAGCTTCAGTTGAGCCCCTAATATAGTGGGAGCTCACCATGTTAGTTCCTATGTTTATGATGCATTACATGGGTTTCTGCCTTACATCATACATGATTGTTGAGTTAGTTCTGCTATTAAACTTGCATGTGTTTTTTGCTATTGTGCCTGAATAGTTTGATCTGCTGACATAAGGATACAATTGACTGGATGCAGTCTTGAAATCCTTGGTCAGATTGGACTTCTTATGGCATTCGATTTTCCTTCATGCTCTTTTTTTTTCTTTGTATTCTAACTATAACTTATAATATTATTTTTTATTGCAGATATGGATACCACTGCTGGCCCAAGTTTGTTCCCAATGCACCGCTGCAAAACTCTTCACCTGGTTGGTATCAAATTTATTTTTCAATTTATATGCTACATCCACTGCAGATTTGAAGCTGCTATATATTTGGTTTGAAGGTTCAAGATTGCTTTCTTTCTTGGCTTTTGCTCGCAAATCAAGGCATTGTGGTCTTAATAAACAATACATCCAGGTGAGGCATGCTCAGGGGATCCACAATGTAGAGGGAGATAAGAACTATAAAGCATACATGTCTCCAGAATATTTTGATGCGCACATTACTCCTCTCGGCTGGCAACAGGTAAGTAGCAGTCATTATGTTTTTATGTATGTCTGTAGGCACATTTTAAATTTAACCTCATTCAGATCATGCTCTTATTTGTAGTCCAAAGCAAGAAACTTGCACTTATAAGAGGAATTTTGTATGAAGCACTGAAGCCATATTATTGGTAATGTTGCAGGTTGATAATTTGCGTAAGCATGTCCATGAATGTGGCCTAGCTAAGAGGATTGATTTAGTCATTACATCCCCTTTGCTAAGGTAGTGGTGCCAGCATTTTATATTCCCGTCAAGAATATTTCCTGGATATATGTCTTCTTATGCCTGTTTTTTTAATTTAGTAATTTAATGGGCATGAAGTCGGACCATTTATGTATCATGTGGGTTTCAGATGTGCAGAATTCTCCAATATATGTGTGCTGAAGAGGGGGAAGCCTAGGAATCTTATCTAGATTCTGCATCTTCTCCTATTTGGACCTGAAGTTGTTTGCACAATTTTTTAGGTTCTCTGTATTATATTATGTTGCCTATGGCTTTTAAATTTGGTTTGGATGTATCCTTTTATGGCTGATAGTCAATAATCAGTTTTTTTTTGGAACATTTACTCTTAAGAATTTTGCTTCTAGTGACTTTTATCTGTTCATGGGAACTGTTATTCAGTTAAGTAAAGCAGAACGCAAAACGAGGAATGCTAATGGTGCCTCATAATTTCATATTTAGATCTAGTGTTAATCTGTGGTCATTTTCCAAATCTTTTATTGTTCATTGCACTTGAGGGTGATGCTGGGTTTATTACACTGGCCCGGTATTCATGGCTGATTTACTCATATTGTCTAAGTCATTTGGTCTTAAATGAAGCTGTGGCTTTTTGTATTGAAGAGGATGTTAGTCTGCTACAAATTTTTGCAATTAGATATTGAAGTTATTTATTAGAATTTGAGTTGGTAAAAGGTTAGTATCAGCAAAGTTCCATATTAATTTTGTGAACAGATTTTATTGCATGTAGAGTCATAAATTTTAGTATCATTCCTCCTCTTAGAAGTGTAATTATGGTTTGTAAAAAGACATCAATAAATTATTAGACATGTATTTATTGACTATGGTCACTTTATGCTGTAGGACATTGCAAACAACTGTTGGGGTATTTGGTGGTGAAGGTTATACAGATAGGATGGATATAGTACCACTTATGGTGGCAAATGCAGGAAATAGCGGCCGTGCCGCAATTTCAAGTCTAAACTGCCCGCCAATCATTGCGGTAGAACTTTGTCGAGAACATTTGGTTAGTCTCATTTTAATTTTCTTGCAGTAACGATTCCTTCTTGATGTGTCATTAGTGGATACACTATGGACCTTAAGATTCCTGGAATTGAAAATAGTTAACCATGAAAGATAGCATCTATTGCATGCATTGATCTTATCAGTCTTATAGGCTCATGGTTCTCATAATGTGCTAGTTCCTTGATTGCCCAATTTTAGATTTGTGATACCACTTAGTGCAAGCATATTCCAGGGTGCAGTTTTATTCTCTCTTTATGTTTTGATCTGTTAAACATATTGTAGACATGGGATTCTTTGCTTCAATAGTTTCATTTCAAGCCTTAGTCTCTTGTCCTGAATGCAAATTTTTTTTTTTTGGTTTCAGGGAGTCCATCCTTGTGATAAGAGGAGAAATATCAGTGATTATCAGTTTCTTTTTCCTGCAGTTGATTTCTCACTGGCAAGTAATTCAGTTTCTAAGATGCACCTGTAAACAAGTTATTGTTTCAACTTTTGATATCTGAACCAAATGTGGCCAGATACTGGTAATTTTCAAGAGTCTATGTTGAGTGTCTTTTGAATTGCTATTCAGATAGAAAGTGATGAGGACACATGGTGGAAGGCTGATGTTAGGGAGACCAAAGAGGAAGTCGCGGCCAGGGGGCTGAAGTTCCTGAACTGGTGCATACCTTATTTGCGCTTAATTGGTTATATCACTCCTTTAGTCATTGGATCTTTAAAAATGAGCATAAGAAAACCCTAATTGGATAGGACATTGAAACTACTACTTCTAACTCGGGCACTGTTTGAAATCATCTTAGATTTCAGAATAGAATTAATGTAACTTATTCTGGAAGGCAACGGGATTAACATTAAACAACATGGCTGTTGCATTATATGATAATTTTCTTGCAACTTAAGTTTCTGATACAGTTAATTCAAGTACTGTGATCAAAAATAAATTTCAAAACTTTTGCATCAAGGAAATCAATCTAATTGATCCCATCTTCTGTTGTTTTACTTGATTTACTTTTTTTTGCAATTTTTTAACTTCTAACAAAGATGTTTCTTTGAAGTTCTTATTGTTTGCAAGAACCCCTTTTTTAGAAAATTTCTGTGTCTTTTGGGGAGACAATGCCAGCCACAGAAAGCTACTAGGAGCGGTAGATGTTTAATATGATGTAGACATACAAAGGATTCTTAGGCTTCTTTTTATTCACTTTGCAGGTTGTGGACACGGAAAGAGAAGGAGATAGCGATTGTTACCCATAGTGGGTTTTTGTTTCATACATTAAGTGCATTTGGAAATGATTGCCACCCATTGGTGAAGAAAGAGATATGCCAACAGTAAGTATCCTCAAGTGCCTTTCATTGTAGCTGGTGAATCTTGTGACTAGACAATTTTAAACATGACTGTTATCTTGGTAGCTTTTGGTGCACTCTTAATCTATGTATAAGATGCAGTTTATTCTCTCTATTTCCAATCCTTTTAAATAGATGTCCTTGGTAGTTCCAGTTTAGCTTGAAAACTGCTACATAATGGTACTTTTAATTTTATAATATGCTTCACATCTGTTGTATAGATATGGTTCATAAAAGATAAAAAAAGGTTCAGATTGTGTCTGCATGCTTATCAATGCATGGCTTCATGTGCAAATTACTGCCTTCATATATATCTCTTTTCATACTACAGCTACTAGTTACATTGAAATGTTGGCCTTTCAAACTGGCAAAAGAACCTAAGTTTGCACCCTGGTCACATTTGATGCTGCAAAGCCAGAATCTCAAAGTAATTTTGCACTTTTAGTGTTTGACCAATTCTGGTTACACCTGAGAGCATTTTAAGGTAGCAAAAATTTCTTGACCTAAAGGCACTTTCAACCAAAAATAGAGTGCTGGTGCTTTTCACCAGAAAAGAAAGGGCATGAAGATTTTTAATGAGTTAAAAGGAGTGTGGCAACAGAACGGAGTTAACCTTTAGTATAATATCTCATTGTGATGAACTTTGTTTACTAAAATAATGCTTAAAGTTTGAATCTAGTTGACAATTATAACTACGATGAGGTGTTACTTGTTTCCAAAAGAAATAACTCTTCTACCTTGTACTGACAGCTTTGCAAATTGTGAGCTTCGCTCAATGGTCATTGTTGACAGAAGGTAAGCTGACATAAAACACAGACATGTTTCTGTTTCATCTTGTTTTAAAGTCTTATGAACACCCATTTGGATTCTTCATGCATCTTATTGACTCCCCATTTTTCTCTAGTATGATGGGATTAGATCCCTCGACAACCAATTATCCAGGAAAGATTCCATCGGGACTGGATCTCCCAAGTGATGTTGTGGATGAGAAGGCTTAGAAAAAAGGAGGACCTGATACAAATTCCTTTGTCTGAGCATTATGTTTAACGCTTGTGATTTAGTAATAGCATTGTTGGAAACTCCATAACCAGGTATGGTTTATGTTATTATGCTTTAGAGATTCTCTTCAGGTATGGTGATTTCAGCATGTGGGTGAGGAAATTCAATGGTGGCAATTGAGATGCACTAGACTTTAAACGATATTTCCTATCGTTTGGCGAAGAGGTTAACAGGCCTCAGATCTAAACCATCTACATGTTTTACCAGACTTTTCAACGTAGACATTCCCATCAGTTTTACCCTTTATCTGTTACTGATCAACCATAATCTTTCTTTTCTGCATTTAGTTATTTTGTTGTAGTAGCAGATCGATTGTCTATTAGCAGTCTTGACCTCCTCTTTCCCTCCCTCTATCCCTCTTCGCAATGTTAATTTGACAAAGTCAATTGTATCCTGATAACTGAAATTATTTATTTCTTTAAAAAATAAACATTCAAAAGTTTGAACATAAAAGAGTTTCCAGAGCTTTTTGGCCGTGACGACTGCTTAAGATTTTAGATGTTTATAGGGTGCTTACTGCTCGGTGAGATTCAAGATGACCGTCACCTTTAGGCTTGGATAACTAGCAACAGTTTGTGAATATGGCAACAGACAGCTTGTGCAAACATGCAATAAGTAACGTTGTTTCAAGACATATCGTACGAGATAGACGAAAGAGCTGACACAGGGATCTGCAATGAAACATAGCCCATGCATCTTGAGCTGTAAAAGGCATTTATACCGTCTTTAAAACGTCATAGAAGGAAGCGGGCTTCTTCCTGGATTTACCACAAAGTTCCTGAAAGCATGAGATGATTGGTTTAGCATACTAACGACGCACCTCAGACACAGCTGAGAGCATTCTCTTTCTGGAAATAAAAACTTTGTTTGTACCTCTAGTGCAGAAGCCAAACGCAAAATTGAAGCTTCACCCCATGGACGCCCTATTAGTTGCAAGCCTATCGGAAGTCCTTGTTTGTCATAACCAACCTGAAATCAGCACAACGGAATATAATACTTTTTCAGATAAGTCATAAAACAGAACAGAGGCTCACTCATCTATACACAACACCAACAAAGGAGATTATTTGATTTACGCATGGTTAATTATATTGCAGAGTTTGCTTTTATATATACATATATATATATA